GCAGTCTGACTGCAGACTAACTGTTTACAAAAGCCCAATACTGCAGTCGCGAATAAACTACAGAAATTACCGACTTTTTTCTACAGTTTAAATGGAGTTTGATGTCTTCAGATTCAACACTACAGTTTAAACTATAGTCTAAGTGAAGATCCTTCCACCCGGGTAACAGTGTCCCCTCTCAGTGCGACGCCTCTCAATCCGACACTATTTACGCGTTTGCAAGGCAAACCCTTGAATTGAACAAGCTTCGCGATATCTCACGAAACACTGTTACGCTGCGACGCGTCTGGCATACATCTACCATCTACCTTGGCCTGCGGTGGAAGAACTGTGTTGAATTTTAGCTCTCTAGGTCAAAAATTGACGTCTCGGAAAATCAACAAGCAGGCCGGGCCGGGCCTGCTTGGCCTGCCGGTGGTGATGGTCGGGCCTGACGCGGTTGACATGATTATTAATCGTTGACTTTGACAACAGCGTTAGGGTCTACTTTTGTTGCATAAACCAGCCTACATTTGCGCACAAAAACTTCTGAGAAGAAGTGGGTTTCTATTCGTGCACGACGAGTCTAGTTGGGTTGTTGTAGGCTCGTTTTGCAGCTGACACGAGCAATAAAAGGGCACTTTCTGCTCCAACGTTAAGTTGTAGTGATGTAAAAACGCAAACACTCAATTTAAAGTAAAAATAAATGTGATAAATGAGCTGTGGCTAAAGAAAACAAAACTATTTCAGTATTTGCACACGTAAATGAAGGTGGGGTCCTTTAAGTACTCCTTCTAGTATAGTAAGAAATCATAGACTTGGGGTCCGATGCAGTGAGCCGGTTCGGTTTAAATTTCGCGCGGTATGAGAAATCGTGACGATGGCGCCAATAGCTCTTAGCTGGCCGACTAACCCCGTCCAGTTTTATATCCGTTTCTATCTCTAATACGAGAAAGCTCTCGATGTAGGAAACTGTTTTTATAGGCTTCCACCGATAACATATTGCTTATTTTAACCCGCCACCCATACAAACACGACTTTTTATTATTTAAATGAGTTGTTGAAAACCCGAGGTGGACATGGTCGCCATCTTGAGTGCCAGCCGCCGGCGGCACCGGCAAGGCACACAGACTGGGGCCCCGAGCGAGGCTAGTTCAGAACTTCGTTACTGGCAGCTGGGGGCAAAACCGTTCAGACTGATAGTACCTAGTTCTACAGATGACATTGCGTTCAACGCTTGTAGAGCCAATTTCTTTTCAGTGTCACTCTTTAATGAAAAGTTCCAAACACGGCCACGGAGTTTATTGCATCGTGCTAAGGACGTAGACCTCTCTCTCTCTCTACTGAAACTTACCACGCCGACACCGCCCATCGCTATGTCAAAAACACTTGTGTCGTTCCATATGTCTAGGCAGGCTGGAATGCTTTCCAGGAAAGGGGTTCTAAGGCGTAGCAGAGCCATGCCATTTTGTGTCTCTTCGCCTGGGACATACACCGCCGCAACCTGGGCAAAGATTTTGCAGTGTTCATATGCGTAAGGAAGAAAAGATTTCAGCAGTTAAGGTTTACACTTGCAAACTACTAAATACCGATTTTATCAGTCTGTTATACCTCGCATGTCTTTCTCCTTCCACTCGGACTGACCCAAATGACGAAAACTGTTCGCGAATCAATCGAGCTGTGTGTTTCATTCGCTATGGCAAAAAATTGCGAACCATCTAGATGATGAAAGAAAAACACAGTTTATACCAAACTTGTATTGTCAGTAATGAAAATGACGTAAGCTGGCACTAACGTAAAGGAAATGATATAATATTAAATGTGTAAGGAATGTCGTGTAGTTAGAGTTTGTGTACTTTTCCTGCACGATATTGTTTTCCTATTAATGGCATTTCTTTGTCATCCTGGAAACTTTTTTTGCATCCCCTGCATTCAAGAGTATTGACTGTATTCAAACGAATTTTGTCAGAATGAGGCCTGAGCGGCAGCGCTTCTCCTAGCTCCAGCCGCTAGGGCGCAGCACCCTCCGAGTCCACTATGAGAAACCGTACGCTCAACATAGTGGTTTGGGTTAGATTTTGCAATTACATCGAGTAGTATCGTTCCAGGCCATTTCTCCCAAAAATAAATTCCCAAAAATAAAGTCCCAAATTTAATTTTTCCGATGCACACTTTTTCCCAAGCGATATTTTCCCAATAATAATTTCCCAATTCGAATTTCCCAATGTATAATTTTGAGGGTTGGCAGTACTTTTTGTTAATCGGCGGGCGCGAAGGAAGGAAGAGGCAGAAATGATAGTTTCAAGGAATGGGGGTTGAAACTGCTATAATAAGGGCTTTATCTACTACCACCGTGACAGCAAGGAAGAGAACAGCCACTGGTTGTGCTCAAGAATAATAGAGTGCAAGGCTACTGTTATCACTCGCCACCACCACAGGGCCGTCCCCTATAGAAAATAGACATCTATAGATGGCGATAGATGGTCTAATGCCCATCTATCACGTCTAACTGTGTAGACGTATACACATAGCTGTTTAAAAGATGTTGATTGTACGTTGTCTGCCATCTTGTCTAACTGTAGAGGGGTGTAGACGCCGGGAGACCTCTACATCTTATCTAACCCATCTCTGCGTTTAGATGTCTTTCTGTAGATAGGGTATAGACGCCGAAAGATGCTCTACTTACTATCAAAGCAATCTATACATTTAGATGTCTTGCCAAAGCTGAGGGATGGACGTCACAAGGCACTCTACGTCATGTCTAAGCCATCTAAACGCTTAGATGGCTTGTGGTACATGAGGCGTCAACTCCAATAGCCGTTCTACTTAAGGGAAAGCATCTATGAACTGAGATGTCTTTACGTTATATGACGTGTAAACGTCAAGGTATGCTCTACTTCTCGTCTCTGGCATCTATAATTGGCTGAGCGATAGCGAAGCCTATTACCCCAGTGATGATCAAAAAGTTTCGTGTCTGTCTATCTGTCTGTCTGTTTGTCTGTAATCACGATAACTCGAGAACGGTTTGAGCTAGGTACCTAAACTTTTTAGCGTAGCTTTGTAGCATGAAAAGCCAGAACTGTATTGATTTTGAGCCCTCTAGATGAAAAATTGATCTGTCAAAAAAATGAACAACGAAAAACCCAAAGTATTGAGAGCGCACTAGCGGCCGGAGCTAGAAGGAGCGCTGCTGCTCAGGCCTTCTTAATTGCAGACTTACACGTACGGAATTTATTTGGAGCTGCAACTGGTCCTTATTTGGCCTTTTAATATTTCTATCAAATGTAAACAGGCATAACCTCGGGCATAACGTGTGCAGTTCTCATGTTGATATAAATTCCCGTTTTACTTTAGAACTCTGAACGTATCCCATTTTGTGTGTGATTCGAAAGTTGGGGAAGAAATGACGTACAGTATAGCCACATACCAGTAATGATGACGTCGTCTCGCACCAACACGCCCGGGAACATGTCCGCTTTACGGCCAGCTTTCTTAAAGTAGACCAACACCGACCAGGACATGTGACCAAGCTGACTCCGGCCAGGGGTCAAACCCCGAAGGGAAGAGTCTGCCTGGCCGCACTGAAGGAAATCACAAGAAAATTAAATGAGAAAAATTGAACGCGTTCATGTATATTGAAAGGAACTATGTAGTGTCCTAAACAGGAATGTTTGGATTATGCCTATCTAAAGACAACTTCGGTTCTTAACTGAGAGTTAACGGCCTATGTAGCTTTTACAAAGCAGAAGAGTGGGCTAGTAGGGAATTCGCTGAATTTTCAGTACTTCATGTCTGAAGTTGGTTTTTTTTACATACCAGTTGTCCGAAAATTCAGACTGTATACGGGTCTGAAATTTCAGTAGGGCCTTACTGTACCACTTAGTCTGAAAATTAAGACAGCCGGTATGAAAATATTTTTGGAAATGTTAAAAATTAACACACAGCGAGTGACTTCACAGGTGTTGGAGTAAATGCCACTGCCCATGTGAAGACATATCTGCCCATTTGGTACTGTCCTTGGTTGGATTCGAACCGCCAACCACCGTAGCTGTTCGGCTGCCGGCTACCTGTGTGGGGAGTGGCGTTCACCCAGAGGATCGTTTCGTTAATTTCAAATAAGTTTTTAATTTCAAATAAGTTTTTAATTTGCGGCATTTCTTTAATTTAAAGAAACTGCTTTGAATCAAAGCAGCCTTATTTAACTTAAAGAAAGGATTTCCTTGAATCAAATTTATTTCTTTGAATCAAAGAAAATAAAAAAATTCTATTTCAATCCAAAGAATCGTTTCTTAGATATAGATATGAAGCAGCGATCTCAAATCCGAGAAAATTCAATTTAGGTCTTTTTCTTTGAATCAAAGATATATTGCTATGAAATAAAGAAGATTGTTTCTTTAAATTAAACAATTATCTTTAAACCAAAGAAGGCCCACCATGGATCAAAACAGGCTGCTTTGATCTAAAAACATTTCTTTACATCTATATTGATTAAAGAATTTCTTTGTTTTAAAGCAGCCTTCGTTGATTCAAAGAAACGATTCTCTGGGTGTTGGCTACTAGTGTGCTTCGTCCACCTGTCCGGTGGACTTTCCACTCAAAATTCATACCGGTAACTCTGAAGTTTAGATTCAATGTATAGTGTAAAAATTTACTTTAAAATATCAAATTTCTCTGTAAATCTGATTTAGCGTAAAAAGTTTAGATTTGCAGTCTAAAGGAAGAAAATTTTGAGTAGTGGTCCGAAAAGAAGATTCATAGTGCCAATTCTGAAAAAAAATAATCTGAATTTTTAGATACTTTTTACAGTAAGGTAATTACAGGTAACTAATGCTATCCCCATGGAAAATTTTACCTAGAATCCACGTCGCATCCACGTCCAGAAGGGTCAAGAGGTGAAAATGAATCATCCAGTTGCTATCTATGTAGACTCTACGTTGACAGAGAGGAGGTTCATCGACACGCTTAATCTTCGCAGTACCTATCTCGACGGTAGGAGGAATTATTGATCTCCCATCCACGTGGACAGCATGAGGTTTTACTGAGTGTGGTAATCACCTAGCATTTACGTTGGTTGCACGCTGATTCGACGATGCCATAATATCCACCTAAACTCTACGTCACAGCACGGAATTGTGAAGTCTCCTTAAAGACATGTTACAGAGAGCTCCTCGGAAAAGAGCGCGGAATACAGGGCACCGAATTTAAAAAAAAATGTTCAAGTTGAGGTTAACGTCAGCAGATTGGTTCAGGTAGCGCGCATATAACTGTACGATAGGCAACACGAGGGATCACCCGCGCGCTATTGTCTGCCCACAAGGTAAAGCGCGCCAACTGGTGACTGGGATATCTGAACGTCAGCAGAGGGCGCCACTGGTACATAGTTTGGCATGATAATAACGCGCCGGAGGTCCTCTCGTCGACAACCGGACAAGTACCAGCCTGTCCCCAGGCACACTGTTCATGTGCAATGGGAGATTTTTGAATGAAGTGTACCCTTGAGTACGCATGCGGTACTGAGGGCACCTCTGGACTGAACTATTCCTGGGACCCAAATTTCCACATTTCGACTAAACAAAGATGACCACACAGACCGATGTGTACCTCCTCCGCGATAAAGTATGCCCAACATAGCAGCACCATTGCGTCCAAGTAGAAAACGTATTAATCACGTTGGGATCTATGGTCAAAATCCAGCAACGCTCCGATCTACGTTGTACTGACCTAGACCATCTACGTCCTGTCGACGTTGCTGCGACGTGCGTTTCCCATGGGATAATTACAGGTGAAGACAGGTAGGGGACGGAGAACCACTTTACTTTACCACCTACGCCCCCTAGGTCCCGAGTCTATAAATATTAGCTTAATACAGGTTTACAAAAGCTTTTGTAGGCTGAATAAAGGGTTACAAAAGCTAAATATTTGTTAAAATAGGTGTTAAACAGTAATACTGGAAGTATCATCTGCTAAAAATGTTGGACGACACTCCAAACACTAAAGCCATATACAGCTCCTCAAAAGAGGGAGGTTTTACCTCTTGCCACATTGAACTGATCATTGTTTAGTAATTCGTCTCTTACTGTTAGTTTTGACATTTTCTCTGCATCAGGCAAACCACAGGCAGAAAAGAAATAGCTGAGCAGGTAAAACTTAGCTGGACGGCTAATTCCAGTAGCTATACATAGATAGCTAAAATGATAGCCATGTAGCTAAAAAAAATAGCTGCATTGAATTAGCTATCTCTGCTACAAGACATTTGCTCTCCTAGGTAATGCACAGTATAGCTGTGGAGCTCAATAATTAGCACATGGTGCCCAGACTTTAAACCTCGCAGTCTGGCCAAACTAAGCCAAAACTTTTGGGCATTTTAAGATATTCTTCACACAAGCCCTCGATCAATTAAGAGGTGGATTATGTCGGAGAAAACTTTGTCCAAACTGTACAATATTTGTTTAAACCGAGACAACATTTTTTTAAATAACAATCTGGTACACTTTACCTATGCAGGTTCTAGAAAAATCGGTCGAGACAACACGTTTTGAGATTAGTTTAATGGAAAAACGTCAAGGGGGCAGACCTGTGAAATGTAAGGGTTAGCAGAATCGTCACTAAATAAAAACCACTCGCCGCATCGATTTAGGGTTAAAGATGTATTAAGAGCATAGATGGACGCTAATTTTGCCGTTGGCACCAGTACGCACACTCTCCAGGAACATGCCTATCTTCGCTTTCAACTGGAACGATGCCGTCCTTCCCGGTGTGCACGATTGCTGCGCAACGTATGGGTCTGCGGCGGGCAAACAAAATTGCTAGTTTCTCTTAAAAACATGCCCCTAGTGGTTGACCTGGTGGTTTTGCAACTTTCGAAATTGAAGTACTTGAAAAACATCACTATGAACGGAACATTTTTTTTTCATTTTTTTCGTATTTCAGCTATATAATATTTTAAGTACTTCCATCTCGAAATTTGCAAAACCCCCAGTTCAACCACTAACGGCATCTTCTACGAGTTAGTGGCAATTGTTGACAGTCGCAGACCAATCCGTTGAAGCACAGACTGCGTCGTCTAGTTGGAGGTAAAGATGGGCATGTTCCTGGAGAGTGCGCGCACCATTGCGAACGGCAAAATTAGCGTCTATCTAGACTCCCTCTTAATACACATTTAATCCCAAATTGATGTGGCGTGAAGTTTTAATGTGGTGACTATTTTCCAAAACCCTTCAATTCACAGGTCTGCCCCCTTAACAATCTTGTCAACTGCGAAACGAACCCCCCTTTTAAAAAATGTTGTCGCCCTTGTTGTATCTGATGTTGTTGATGCGTCTTTTTGCGTGATATCTTTATGCATTAGTCTATGGATCTTTACTTTTATAATTGAACATTATTTTGGGGGTGGGCGCTGGGCAGTGCTCGCGAGGAACCGACTACTCAGAGAGCAAGGTGATACGACCCTAACGGGTTCGTTTAAAAAGGGAGCCGCTTCGCATTTTGAGTTGGGCGTCCATCTAGATAGTTGAATGAAATGGTTCTTGTATACAATTTTAAAAGCGATTCCGTCCTGCTACTCCCACCTTGTTTAGCTTGCGGGCAGTGGTTGGTACCCCTTGGTCCGAGCTTTTCGTCGCTATTTTCTCTCGAAGCCACAATTTCACGCCATCGTCGTTTAGATCTGTTATGACCCAACGGAGGCTATCGTCCTTTCCGAAGTCGTCCTTCCAAAAGTTGAAGGAGAGAATTCCATGAAGAAACCAAGAATCACGTTTCCGAACGAAGAAACCTGCCCCAACTCTTGTAAGATTCGACACTGCATAAAATACCTCAAAATTTAGTAACAAATAAATATAAATATACACATGTTGGGAGGGTAATTGTGTAACCGACTCGGTGAAAGCTCTGACCTTGCACTGGTCCCGTGCAGAATCGATCTGGTGTAATGTAGACTTGCGGAATTCTCGTAGTCATAAAGAGGCAGCGGTCGCTCCTGTAGTTAACATATGGCACGGCCTCAATACTTGATTGGAAATCTAAGAGAGAGACTTGCCACGACTCCGTCTGCACAAAAACCAAAACCAAACAAATGTCATTCTAAGTTGCAGTTAAGGTTTTTACTCATAATTTGATGTGGTCTCTTAATGGGTGACTTACAAGTTAAAGCAGTAGTATACGTGTATACCACTGCTGTGACATCACATTCAAATGCTGTGACGTCACATTCTGATGATGTGACGTCACATTCAAATGTTGTGGCGTCACACATAATGTAAATTGGATCACATTCCTGACAGTATCGGGCCACATTCATTGTAACGTGACATCATCGATTTGCCTTGCCCTACGTAAGTCCCGTAACAGTAATCAAATGGAGTTACATCTTGTAACTAGAGTCTAGTTCCTATCTTGTGATGTTACGAAAATTGGAACTGTACAAGATGTAACTCCATTTGATTATTGCTACGGGTCTAGTTACTAGACCGTGCATACCAGTTATTATTTATATTAGCATATGTACTTCTTTGACCTCTAATTTAATGTTTAAAGATCGCTCAATTGGTCCATTTTCTCCAAAATTGGGAAAATTCATTTGAATATCTGAGGTGAAACGAAGTTATACACAACGTCTTTAGACTCAATTTCCGACGTATATTCCCAGTCAAACGGATTTTGTCAAAATTACATCATTTTGATGTCATTGTCAAGATTTGGTCATTTTTTTTTACATCTTGATGTCATTTTAAGATCATTTGATGTCATTTGATGTCAAAATGACATCAAGATGTAAAACGAAAAAGACCAAATCTTGACAATGACATCAAAATGATGTAATTTTGACAAAATCCGTTTGACTGGGTTACCGCTTTGGTCTTAGTTTTGACCAACGACCAAAACCTTTGAGTGCTGACTGAATTTTCAATGTAAGGTATGGAAGCCCATAAGAAACCAATGGTGAACCTCAACCCTCTGGCGCGAACACTTACTTTTTTCCAAAAACTTCAGACTTCCCAGTTTTCCTTTTTGACACAAAACGAAACTTTTCCACAACAAGCGCCGAGTGGATCGAACATTCGGTACTTTTGGCACACACTACTATATTACGGGCGTTATGTTACAGGTACAACGTTACATAAAAACCGTTCCTTAACAGCAACGTAGAACGTTACTCGTCCCTGGTAGGCGTACTTACCTGGTAATATGTCAAGTTGTAACGATGTGACATGGTATTTTTACTAATAGAGGGCCCTAACCTAGTACCTACCATCTTTTTAAGGGTAATCTGCACTGAAATGGCCACCCCCATCAGTAAAAAGAGAAGATTTGAAAGCGAGCTAAGCTATATTCAATTAAGCATTCGCTTGAGCCACGCGCCCCCAAGCGTACGCTACGCTTGGCGCGGCGCGAGTCTCGGGCTGCTTGGGGCGGGAGGGGCGGGGGAGCGGACGGAGTGGGGGGTCCCGTCCCCACCTGTCCCCTCGCCCCGACGGTCTCGCCGCTGCCCCTTCCCCCCGAGCCGAGGTGAGGCCGAGATGACCCGAAGTGACTTGGACTCGGCAGACTCGTGTTCTGATGTTGGTTCTGATTGACATTGAGCATCTTTGTTTTTCGTGTTTCTATTGTCTTGCTACCGGCAGTCAGGGTAACAAAGGTTAGGTTCTCGTGTTACTTATCTCCTCTTGTGGATGTATCTTTTCAATTGTAAAAATGGATTTTGAGGCATTGGCCGTGTTAGCTGTACAAGTTTTTTTTTT